GACCCCGGTAGATCTTGGTGAAGGAGCCGTGGCCCAAGTTCTCGTGCTGTGCGGGCACCGAGCGGCCACGGTTGACAGCGGCTCCCCTGCCCCGGCTTCCCCACCCCACCTTGGCGGGCTCCAGCGAGGTGATGTGCACCGGTGCCCCGCTGAACACCTCCCACGCCGTGGCGCCGAAGCCCCACTTGTCGGCCTCCAGGCCGAGCGCCCGGGCTTCCTGCAGACACTCGGGGGCCACCCAGGGGATCCTGTCGGTGAGCACTGCGGACGGGGGCGGCGGTCACCTCCGGACCCGCCCGGTGCAGACTCGGAGGGCGGCGCGGGGCGGGGCGGGGCGGGCTAGCCTGCACTCACTCTCCAGGCTCAGCACCGCGGGGCTGACACCGGGGTCGCTCAGCTTGATGAAGGGGGGGCTCCCGTCAGCCCCCTCGCGGGCCAGGAGCACCTTCCGCGCCGAGACGTTGCCGTGAGGGAGGCCTTTGTCCTCCTGGGAGGGCGCACGGTTAGGCGGGCTCCTCGGCGTCCTGCAGGGCCTGCCCGGTGCTGCCCGGGTGGAGCGCGCGGCACCCCGCGCCCCGGCACCCCGCGGGCCCCGGCACCCCGCGCCTCGGCACCCCGCGCCCCGGCACCCCGTGCTCACCCGACCACACCCCAAGGCCCCCAGGCCTGGCGCCCCGCTTCTCACTTCCCGTCTCCGCCCCCTCGCCCACCAAACCGCTCCTGACCGGCTTGCCCGGACTCTCTTTTATTTTGGGTTTTCTCTGTGTAGCCCAGGCTGTCCTGGATCTCGCTCTGTAGCCCAGGCTGTCCTGGATCTCGCTCTGTAGCCCAGGCTGGCCTGGGTCTCGCTCTGTAGCCCAGGCTGGCCTGGGTCTCGCTCTGTAGCCCAGGCTGTCCTGGGTCCCGCTCTGTAGCCCAGGCTGGCCGCGAACTCACGGAGATCCCCCTGCCTCGGCCTCCCAGGGCTGGGATCAATGACGTGCGCCACCACCGCCTGCCCCTTGGTGAACTCTTACTCAGCCCTCAAGACCCCAAGCTGAGGTCCCCTCTTTTGGAAGAGGCGCCCCAGCCTGGTGCCGCCAGTGCCCTCGGCGCCCCTGCGTGCCCAGTGCTCACCCCTGGGCCTCGTCCTGAGCCGCCCACGCCCTCTCTGAACCCCGCTCTGGTCCTCACAGGCTCCTGGCCACACCGCGGCGCCCGTTCCCGCGCCGCCCCCCGAGGAGGGACCCCGGACACGGGGATGCTCACCAGGTAGCTGAGCGCGTAGGCCAGCTGCTTGATCACCTGCAGCTTCCAGCCGGCCAGCACCAGGGGCCCGCGCTTGCGCAGGTACGTGTCGATGGCGCCCAGGTAGACAAACTCCTGCACCATGATGCCTGGGGGCGGAGACCGGGGTTGGGGGACACAGTGCTCAGCAGCCCCCCCCCGACACCCCCCCTGCCCTTTGCCCTTAGCACGGCTGAACTTTGTTTACTGAGCTCAGCTGACTAGATATAACACAGGCCAGAGAGGGTGTGCAGGACGTGCAGTGTTGCACAGCAATTAGCCAGCAAGGGTGCGAGGTGGGGGAGGGTGGGGCGTGTCAGGGGCACCATGCAGGTGGGGGGGGGGCCGGGGCTGGGGTGCAGGACGCGGCTCACTGTCTCCAGCCATGCAGACGCCATGCAGCAGCACCAGGTGTGGGTAGGACACTTGGCTCATCAAGCTCGCGGCCTCCAGAAAGGACTGGGGAGGGGAGAGCAGAGGATGCGTGGACTCCTCCCCGCGCGCCCGGGGTCCCCGCCCTGCAGGTCTCCCCGGTGTGCGGTCCCCGCCCCGCGGGTCTCCCCGGTGTGGGGTCCCCGCCCCGCGGGTCTCCCCGTCAGGGGTCCCCGCCCCGCAGGTCTCCCCGTCAGGGGTCCCCGCCCTGCAGGTCTCCCCGTCCGGGGTCCCCGCCCCGCGGGTCTCCCCGGTGTGGGGTCCCCGCCCCGCAGGTCTCCCCGGCGTGGGGTCCCCGCCCTGCGGGTCTCCCCGTCAGGGGTCCCCGCCCCGCAGGTCCCCCCGTCAGGGGTCCCCGCCCCGCAGGTCTCCCCATCAGGGGTCCCCGCCCCGCAGGTCCCCCCGTCAGGGGTCCCCGCCCCGCAGGTCCCCCCGTCAGGGGTCCCCGCCCCGCAGGTCTCCCCGTCAGGGGTCCCCGCCCCGCAGGTCTCCCCGTCAGGGGTCCCCCCAGCCTCAGGATCTCCGCTCTCTGCCCCTCGGTGTCCCTCTGGCCTTGAACTTCTAGGTCCCAGTGATCCTCCTGCCTCAGCTTCCCCCTCGTGCTGGGCCGACAGGCCCCGCCCCGCAGGTCCGCAGGCCTTCTGCTCTGGTCCCGCCTCACCTCCATGCAGTTCCGGTGCCTGGCGTCCATGACCTTCAGGAGGACTTCCGTGTCGTGCGTCTCCCCGTCCACGGTCTCGCGCCGGCGACCCCGGTAGATCTTGGTGAAGGAGCCGTGGCCCAAGTTCTCGTGCTGTGCGGGCACCGAGCGGCCACGGTTGACAGCGGCTCCCCTGCCCCGGGGACCCTCACCCCTGCCCCGGGGACCCTCACCCCTGTCCTCACCCCTGCCCCGGGGACCCTCACCCCTGTCCTCACCCCTGCCCCGGGGACCCTCACCCCTGTCCTCACCCCTGCCCCCGGGGGACCCTCACCCCTGTCCTCACCCCTGCCCCGGGGACCCTCACCCCTGCCCCCGGGGACCCTCACCCCCGTCCCCTGGGGACCCTCACCCCCGCCCCCGGGGACCCTCACCCCCGTCCCCTGGGGACCCTCACCCCCGCCCCCGGGGACCCTCACCCCCGTCCCCGGGGACCCTCACCCCCGCCCCTGGGGACCCTCACCCCCGCCCCCGGGGACCCTCACCCCTGCCCCCGGGGACCCTCACCCACTCCAGGCTGTCCGCAGGGATTGTGTGGAAGCTCAGCTGCGTTAGCGCGCAGCAGGACGGGGCGCGGCCGGGGGCCGGGGCAGGGGTGCAGCTCGTTCTCACCACGATCAAATTGGACTTTTCTAGGGGGCAGAAGCAAGAGAACAGAGGTCAGAGGTCAGAGGCAAAGGTTCCCAAGAGCCCCCTCCCGCACTAAGCCTGGGGGACCCCCCCCCCCAACTCGCTCCTGAGAAGCGATTTGAAAGCGCCGGGCTCTGAGCGGACGGTCCAGGTCACAGCTCTCCCGTGTCAACCAGGGCAGCAGGGGGGTCAGGGAGAGACGTCCCAGCAGGGGGGCGCCCCAGCGACCTTCACCCACAAACCTCCAGAGCTGCGGGGCGTGGGGAGGCAGAGGGCTCACCCTTGGGCCGGGGGGCGCAGCAGGAGGTGAGGTTCAGGGCCGCACCGTCCACCTGCAGCCCGGAGCGCCAGCAGGCGGCCAGGAGCTCCCGCAGGCTCCGGTGCGGCTGGCTGAGCCCGGCCAGGGAGAAGGCGCCCGCGGGGTCCCGGCGGATGAGGCAGCCCTTGTAGTCCGGGCCGAGCGGCGTCTGCGGAGGGAGGGAGCCGGGTGGAGGCGGTGGAGGCCGGGCCCGAACCCGCGGCCCTGCGCCCGCCCGCGCGCGCTCCGGCGCTGGCTGCACCCTGAGCTTCTCCGAGCTTTTGAGATGACAGGGATTTCTGTTTGTGTCTGTGTAGGGGACCCGTGGAGGTCAGGGCTACTCAGGCGGGTCGGGGACGGGGACGCGTCCACCACGCGGTGCCAGGGACGGAGCGCGCATCCTCAGGCTTGGTGGGAACCCCGCCCCACGGCCCCGACTCCACCCCCGCACTTTTTGATGCGCAGTCTTGCTATGTTAGCCCAGGCTGGCCTGTAAGCGTGAACCTCCTGCCTCAGCCTCGTGGATTCTAGGGAGACTCCCAGGCTGGTGCTCTTCAAGGACAAATGCACACTCCTGGTCCCAGCTCGGATGTCACCTCCGCCGGGAAGCCACCCTGGCACCAGCAATGAACCAACCTGCACGCAGGCCGTGAGAAGAAAGCTGTCGTAGTCCTGAGGGCTGCGGCGGAGAATGTAGGAGCCCGGGAGGGAGCCGGCGGCCTTCAGCTTGTGGACCGCAAAGTCTAGCCTAGGCCAGGACAGAAGCCCCGTCAGAGCCGGACCGACCCGGTGAGGCCCCCCTGCCCGGGACCCCGCGGTGCCCCCCGGGCCACGCCCCCGCGGTGACCCCCCCCGGGCCACGCCCCCGCGGTGCCCCCGGACCCGCCCCTCACGTGATGGGCCCGTGGCACAGCTCTGCCACTTCCTCCAGCAGCCTTGGCGGCGCCACCTCCTTGCAGAAGAAATGCCTGGAGTCGCAGGTCAGCCGGAAGTAGCCGTCGACGAGGGCCACGAAGGACAGCGCCTCGGGCAGTCCCGCGAACTCCGCTTCCTGTGCGGAGAGCTCGTCGGCCACCAGTGGCGCCCCAGGCCGCCCGCCCCGCTCCCAGGCTCGGCGCCAGAGCCGGGACCCACCAGGACGTGGCCGTCCATCCTGGTGATGGTGACCAGACGCTGCTCCCCGGCCGGGCCCACGCGCGGGGCCTGCTTGATGCTGACGTCCACGATCTCGGGAAAGTCACAGAAGGTCTGGAAGAGCTGGGAAGGGAGGCCGGGCGGAGGCCGGGGGATTACGTCCCGAGCACTCAGGGCCTGGCTGGGCCTGCAGCCCCGACCCTGCCCCGCCGCGCTCGTTCCCTCCTCCCACGCCCACTTCCTGGAGGGCACCCAGGCCTGGCACCCGCTGCCCCGCAGACCCCATCCCAACTGCCCCCTGCCGGCCCAGCGCCATCTAGCCGGGTCCCGCCGCGCCCCCGACTGCCCCGCTCCGGACCTCCCCGACTGCCCCGCCCACGACTCCCCGACCCGACTGCCCCGCCCACGACCAGCCCCGACTGC